CGTGATGAAACAAATGACGAGAAAGCAGCAAACATAAAACCAATTCAGTCCAACACGTGACAGGTGTGAGTGTGATGATAATTAATACATGTATAAATAGGTTAATGATGAAACATGGCGACATGAGGGACCTGTACGGTGGATGTGTTTTATTTAAAGCTGAAGGTTCAGCACAAGTGAACCTGATGTGATGAATAAACAACGAGGACCTCTAACACTCAATTACAACAAAGGAGCCGCTGTTCAGCTGTACCCGAGCGCCCTCTAGCGGAGAAAACGCAGTGACTGTCTGGATCCCATGAATCAGGTGGTGTGTTGTGCTGGGGGATGGACTCTCAACAAAAGTTGACAATTTCACTTTCTAAAATAATTTTCATTCTGTATTCAGGCTACATCAAGAAAAGGGTACAACAATTTGTGATTTCATGATCATCTAATCAGCCCATTATTATGTTTTTATTTCAAATTCATTTTTTACTGTAAAATATCCTAAATACTGTAAAACTGTCCAAACGTCTTCAGTTTCCAAAAGTCCACGGTGACATCTTCCATATTTGATTTGTGTGACCAATAGTCAAAACTCCAAATATAGTCACTGTACAACTGAGGAATTTTTGAGAGCCTGTAACTGAAGAAGTATTAGAATTTATTTCCACTTTGAAAGAAAATGTGAATAATCATCCATCCATAGTCTCACCAGTTACCAATTTGACTAATCTTTTCTGCTCTTATTATAGTCATTACAATCCTTAACATGCATAAAACAGTCTAATAACATTGGTCGCACAGACGTAGAAAAAATGTCTAATGGTGCAAAATATAAAATAGAAGAGGAATAAATAGTAGCTACAGCTTTTTGGGAAAAGGGCAGCACAACCACAAAACCATCTCTTTTAAGAACCAACCTACAAACAGATTGAGCCTGTGATATAATCAATTTTGTGACAGTCTGAGGACAATAACAACTGCATGGGATGATACAAAATGTAGTGGTGCTTTGATTTAAAGCTACTGTTGTCAATGTAAGTGGATATGGATATATTACAGAACAGGGCTAAAGAATACAGAACAAGGGGCCTCAAACCCTTGAGCCGCTATGAGCCTGTGGCCATGACCTCTGTATGAGGTGACTGTTAATATATCTTATTAAAAGATCAATCAAACGACAAATAGATAGAAATTAGCAAAGTTGAAATATGTCTGTTTAGCATTTATATTTAAAAAACAACTACAAAAAGATGCAATACTTCCCAAGTCATATGACCAATAAACAAGGTAAATCACAAACCCAAAACAAAGCTGAACAAAACTATACTCTGGGTCCCCCTAGTGGATCAAACAAGCTCCCCCACCAGCCGTACATCTTAATTGTACAGGTCAGGTCAAATGAACTATATAAGCTGCATGGTAGTGATAGAGAATATTGTGCTTCTGAAAAGAACCAAGAAGAATGTAAAGTGAAAACGAGTGAAAAGTGTTCTGAGCTGTATGGAGTGGAGTTATCAAAGACGCTGGAATAAGTCAAGCTGGAGGAGTCCTGGGAGAAAACCTTTTCTAAAAATCTTGGGTATGAATAACGGCTTGGAGATAGGTCTGCAGCTGAGGTCATCTGGATCAAGGCAAAGTTCTGTTAGCTATTAATCATGGTCAGAATGAGGGGAACGCTTTTGCTGGTGACATCTGATGGACAAAAGGTGGGACTCTTGTGTTAGAACCACGTCAGTCAGCAGGGAGGGCGACATGTCAGAGGCAACAGAGTCAGGGGCTGATGGTCAGTCAGTTTTACAGACACAAGAAAGTGTGTTGTGAGATGTGTTTGCAGAGAATTTCTCTTTTTTTGGTAGAGCTGTAAAAATGGATTATTTAATAATGTCCCCTGCCCCTCCCCCGTTCTACCTTCTCATCCAAACATGGTTATTTCTGTCTTTTAAAGAAAGTGGCCACTCTCCAAAAAACTAAACCAGAGGCCTCACACAACACTTCACAGACTGGAGGATGACGTCACGATGAGGTTGCCACTAAATAGTAAGTATTTGCAGTTTATTGTTAAATTGCTGGTATTCTTATATAATTAGCTCCAGTTTTGTGTTCCTGCGTGTGTTTTCTTGAATGCAGAAATTTAATACATCACAGATTAGCTTCCCCATCAATCCAATCATGTTTCATCTATACCACAAAACTCTGACACATAAGTTATACAAAGCTCCCTGCTAGCTAACGCACCAACCAGTTGCCCACAACAGGTGAGGCATTACATTATAGATACGGCATTTTGTTTGTATGGTCAAATGCTCAAATGTTAGCACGCGTGGCTGTACAATACACACAAGTATAAAAACAACGCATTACAACACAACTAGCATTGTTTAGCGTTCTGGCGTTTTAGCATGCTAGCGCTAGCTAGAACTAGCCGGTCAATCATCGTGGCCGTTCTTCAAACCCCTGCGATAGAAACGTGACGTGTCTGACCTGCAGTGCGATGAAAGGTCAGTGGAGCGTCAGTTACTCTCATCTGTTCTCAGGTGTCACGTCTGTATCTATGGTCTGTGCTGATGTCACAGGTGAACAACAGCGAGATGTCTCACTCTGCTTTAAATTAACGGACCAGAAGTACAGACCAAACAGAAGTCACTGGCAGTAGTGCAAAGTTGGCTACATCACTTTTTAAAGCACATTTTTGAAACACTTATACATTTTTGATGCAACTTCAACTATAAAACTAGAGGTAAATTGTACTTTTTACGCTTTCTTTTGGGTCCATAGACTATTTACTGGTTTCTTCTGAGTTTCTTGGTAAAACTCAGTTTACGTTCCCATGTTTCAAGTAAACCAATTGCTTTGGTTGCAACTGGGGCTGAGGCTTATATTATGTTCAGTATTGTCATTGTGATGATTATTATAAGGCCAAGGTGAAATCTTTGAATGTCGTGTTTTGTTTGATCAGGAGTCTAATCCCCAAAGAATTCGGTTTACTTTGTTATTTACAAAAAGTGCTGGAAAATGTTGACAACTTTTAATTCAAAAAGGGACCAAAACCATTTGTTTGGTGATTTTCTGTTCATTTGACAAAAATTGGTTGCCTATTGTTACAGCTCTAAACTGATTTTATTTGATTCACTGTGGAAAACACAAAACTTTACAGAAATTTTAAATTAAATTTGCTTCTTTTTTTCCCCCTGCCCCATAAACATGTATCTAAATGTGTACCTAAATAGTTTAACTGTGTTCACCTTACAAACTAATGCATTAGTTTAATCATTATAATGATGTCTTAGGCTATGATAATACAATAAATCACAGGATCTGTCTTTGTGGAAAGTCATTTTATATGTGGTGCATGTGCCTCTGTACTTAAGTTGGACTTAACGTTATGATTTGCACTGTTATCCTGGTACTTTTAGTTGAGTAAAGAATCTGAGTACATCCCTGACAACGAGGCTAGAATATAATAGGGTGGTTTTACATGTTTTTTGAAATAGTCTTCACTGCTGGATTATTATTCAGGGAGTTTGGGTTTTGTGGCCGGGGACACCATTAAGTCATTAAGAGAGCTTCAGTATCAGCTGGAAACTGCAGGTGTTGTTTTGGTTGGGGACAGTTTACACCAATTAAGGCCGTTTTTGGTATTTATTTAATCTGCTGAGTGGAGCATTTCAATCCAGAGAGGCCAGCCTCCCCATTAACCTCTGCTATTGGTGCACTGTGGTTTGTAAGTAGGTGAGCGGGTCTGTGGGAGACTGTGCTGCTCTGTGGGAGACTGTGCTGACGAGGATTGTGGTGATTGTGTAGTGTTGAGAGAGGAATGGGATTGTAAATATTTTAACAGTTGCAGTGTAATGGATTTGGAACAAGATGGACAACAATGCGAGTGTGGAATCTAAGCATGCCCTTGCCATGATTTTGAAGCTTTATAGTGTTCATTGATCCACCTCTGAGGCTGCAGTTTTTGGTACATATACTCTGAAGCCCATGTATCCACCATTATCGACACAGACCACAACTGCTGGATGAATATTTAATGAATCATTCACTCCAAGGCTTTATTGATCAGTTTCAAGCCAATAATAAGAGCAAATTTTGGGTTGCCAGGTTGTGAAAAACCAGGTCACCACGTTTCCTGCTGATGGGTATCTGCATGACATGGCATTACTAATGGCTAATAAACTATTAATGCCACAGTTATACATGCTGATAAAGCCATTAATAAATATCATTCCTTTTGCCAACAAGCTACGAATGTCATCTGCATGATATCAGTGTATAAATATTTAACTGACATTGAGAGCTATTAGAATAATCAGTCAAGCCTGCAGTAACTGAACTAATGTGCAACAAGAGAACTTGCATTCTAGCTACCATGTGTGTAAATGTTATCAAAGAGACAGGCCCAATCCTACTCAAGAGTTCCTTGTACTCTGTCAAAGGGCAGATATATAGTAGAGATACTGCAATTCAAACTGTATTTGAATATAACTATGATACAAAAACTATTTTTAGTGAACGGGAACTTTAAGAGAGCAATGAGAGACTTAATTTGAGTTGCACTATTACACAGTGAGTCTCCTGGTTAAAGGCTTGAGAGGAGAGCTTCAACATTTAGTTAATTCATTGATCAATAGCAAATATATTGGCAATGGCAAATATTTTGATACTTGATAGATTGTTTAAATGATATCTTTCTCTCAGTACATGCGATATTGCAATATTGTAATTGGCCACACGGTGTCGTCATCGTCTTGAGGACTTTAGACTATCTTGTTTGTGTTTGACTTTTATTTTGAAAGGGCGTGCAGGTAGACTAACACAGCACTGCTGCTTTTTGATCACAGAGACATTAGAAACCATTAATACAATGCACGTCATAGGTTTAAAAACTATCCCTCTCTCACCCCCCCACCCCCAACCCCCCTCTCTCTCGCTCCCTCCTTTCCTCCTCCTCTCCTTCACCATTTTGCCGACAGAAATAAAGCCCCTGCCACTCCCCTTTATGTGCCTGGTGTCCTCGGGCAGCGCCAGGGAGTCCAGCAGGGCACACATTCAGTCATAATGAAGAATATGATCCGTCTATAATCTATCGATCAGGTGTCGTTGAGTCACAGGAGGGTGAGATCGGCCGCTGGTGTTTGGATGGTGGAGACCTCCGTCTACCTCTCGAGATCACGGCGGCATCTTCTCCGCCTTCCCCCACTTTCCTGAGAAGGTGAAGCGGCCTCTATAACAACAGCATCCGCCGCTATGAGGCGAATAACGGGGAAGGCGAAGGACGAAACTCTGATCGAGCTGCAGAGCGCCACGGATTCACAGACCGCAGGTAATTCAACAGAGAAACGAGCTCCCTAACATATAACAAGGTCTGAGGAGGTCATGAGGACATCTATGGTATCATGTGTCCTATTACATCTGCAAAAGTGCTGTCATTTACTGCCTCTGCTTCGAAGAACACGTTTCCATCATGGAGCCTTAATAGAACACTATTATAGCAAAGCATTCAACTTTAAAGAAACAGTGTAACCTCACAATCCAGTAAAAATATCCTTAATTCAAGATGTGATTTTCAGTCATTTTGGGGCCAGAATGTCAATTTGAAATGTGATTGTCACTCTACTACATATAACGTGGTTACTTTGCAGTTGCGCATGTTTCTTCCACAGGCTTATTAAGATCTTAGGGCTGGGCAATAAAACAAGATCAATATCCTAATTATTGCAATGTATTTTTAATCAATACCAATATAAAAAAAGTCCAGTATGTATAGCAACATATTGCTTATACTTTAGAGTGAGGATATAACACATGATCTAATGTTTGGCTGTTTATCAAGTGTTTCTTATTCTCTACTTCAAAAAGAGTATGACAAAAAAACCTTCACTCAGGAGCAAAAATCTGGCTTCAAACTTCAAAGAAATAATACATTTATATAATCGTAATAATTCGTATTCGTAATTTTAAAAAATTAATCGTTATCTACTGAATATCAATTATATCAAGATGAACAATTCTATTGATACAATTTGGCCAAATTGTACAGCCTTACAAGATCTACTCTTTTTAAACAAGTTATGTACCTTGTGCCAGTTTGGCAGCTGGCAGCAGGATCTAATGTAAGTAGGATAACCTCAGTCAGAGGTCAGAGGTCAACCAGCAGAATAAACCCACAAATTAAAGAGTTAGCAGTGATCCCGTGACGGCGTTTGTGTGCATACTGTACATTCTTGTGCCTTGCATGGCAGGAATGTCCCTTCCAACCTGTGACTGTGGGGTCACTGAGGCAGATTTGTCCCTATCAGACATATTCATCTCAAGGTTTCATTTTTCAATGGAGATTAAGTTAAACTGGCAAAAGGGCAAAACTGCCCCAAGTGAATCACCCGAGTAAAGAGATCCATGTTCTCCTCCTGCTCGTGGGTATTTGTGTACATATGGGATTACATTGTCTGAGATAGTCAGGCTTCACTGACTCTTCAGTAGACAGCAAACCACTGTCAGTCTGTGGTTTCAGACAGTGTGCTCTCTCATACTCATGACATTACTGTGATGGAGCTAAAATGGCTTGTCATTATTTTTTGTTGTCATGCACACTAATCACCAGAAAATTGAGTTAAAGTCAATAGTTTGTGCTTTCACAGAGCACTTCATCTCAATAGTGGAGGCCTGTGGTCTATTAAACCCTGCATTAAGTTTCATTGATATCAGCCTTTGGTTTTTGTGTTATCTTCCTTATAAACAAACCAGAAGATAATGAAAGAAGCTGTCATTAAAGATTGGCTGATGATGGGAGACTCAGTTAAAAGTGCTTAATAGTCTATTAATTAAAAAACTTATTTTACTTCATGGTTAGTCTGAGCTGTTCTGAAGTGTCCAGTGTCTGCTGATATGATTTCCCAACAGTTGTGTTCCCACTTACATAATACACGTCTCACTTATCTCGAGGATTAAAATTCCTCATTTTCACCAGTATTATCCTCTCACTGATATTTTAAACTCTTTTCAAAACTGCAGTAGCTAAAGCACAGAAGTCCGCAGACGTCCAGTGATCATGTCAAATAGGTCAGGAGGCAATTTCCAGCAGAAATCTGCAGTTTGGAATCCATAACATGAAAAGCAAAGCACATATGGAGAGACGGCATTCTCTAAATACAGTTAGTGCATGGCATGCATTGACCCTCCTTATCTTTTTAGCCCTGCTTGAAGAACACAACTGACGACTTGAATTTATTGGAAAAGTCTGCTGCTCTTGTGATAACAGCAGTGCTGCATTTACAGAACAGACAGTTAAGACACCGAAGTTTGCATTTAGTCCAAAAATGATAAAAAAATGTTTAAAGAGTCACTGCTCTTAACGGAGCCGTACGATAAGAGCATGTATATTGTTCAACTAAGTTTATTGGCAGATATTGCGCTATTACAGATATATCTGTATCGTCACATATGATGGCTGATCTATGCATATATACACAAAGAGTATAATTTTGAGCAAATAGAAGAGATTCTTTGTACCAAAGCTTTGTATTAAAACAAACCTCATCATCTCCACTACACATGGACCAACAACTAACAAAATACAGTGTAAATGTTAATATCGATTTCAATAGATCAATTTTGTAGAGGTTGACTCACGTTTTGGAACAGCAACAGCGCTGCAAATTAATGGATATTTGGTGTTTTCATTGCTTCCTTGGCTTTATATTTAGTTTTGTTATTAACACATAACTTCCTTTGGTCTGGCATTGGCCTGGTGACCGACCAGGCCTGTATTATCACAGGGGGAACCTTAAAGGGACATGAAAAATCCACATGATTTATTTCCAAGTAATCACATTGAACTAGTCTGTCGAGTGAACATAATGAAATCTCAGAGCTTTTCAGTTTGTAATTCCCCCCTCGTGTTAATCAGTGGGCTGTTAATAAAGACACGTGCCTGCTTTTCTGGGTGAGCTGCAGGTTAATGGACTGTTCTGCTAAAGCTTTGTTCAGGCTCTTATCAGAACAGACCTTCAGCCACATGTGACAGAGGAGGAGGGTGTCTGTCTTCACATTGCTTTATGTGTTTGGAGTGTTTCCTCTTGTTCGCAGGTGTTCAAACACCAATTTAGAAAGTCATGACTGATGTCCTTCAGCTGGATGAACACCAGATGCTCTGGGAAATCATTTACAGTATGGATAGTGTCTAAACCTAAAACAGCTAAAATGCAGCAGGTATTAGGTCTCATGTTGAGTCAGTAAGTCTTTCCAACTGGACTAAATGCTTTTCAGTATTTTTCTTTTCTGCATCTTTGTTTCTTAACAACTGTCTTCACTTTATAACTATGAGGAATTTGCTTTCCATTTAAGGGGATTTCACTTTGCTATCTGCAGCCCAGTCAGAGAATGTATCCTTCAGTTCGAGGTGAAACAGGGCCAAAGAGTTGCTATAGAAACAGACCTAGTAATGTAATTGCCTTCTTTGATGGAGGCATGATACTGAATCAGACGTAGAGAGCAACCAAGTTTTCCTCTCGGTGAACTACAGGGCAGCTACAGTCGATTTTTTTGTGCCATTTCATTGTTTTTCTTCATAGACTTTATTCAGGAAACACTGAGATATGTTTTATGTGGCAGCCCTTTAATGAGAGACTGTGCCTGTAGGAGCTTAATTTATCATTGTACAGTATCTCCTGGTAAACGTTGCCTAATCTGATTATTGAGGGACAGAAAGGAACATGGATGTATGTACCATGGGGGGCTCCTCAAACGCCGGGGCAGGAGTGCTGGCAGTGCGGCCAGTCGGGCCACGTCCGGCGGGAGTGCCCGCTGATGGAGGTGGGGCAGCTGGTCAGGGTGGCCGGGCCACCAGCCTCTTCCAACGGCCCGGGAGAGACGTACCATATACCGGTATGTATACAGGGGGGTACACACCYAGCTCTGCTGGACACGGGCTGTAATCAGACGATGATCCATCAGCGCTTGGTTCGAACGGGGGCATTGATGGAGGCATCGTGGGTGAAGGTGAGGTGTGTGCATGYGGATATTCACGAATACCCAGTGGTGACTCTGCTAATTTCATATAAGGGAAAAAAACATAGAGTCGAGGCAGGGGTTAGTCCCCGTCTCACGCACCCCCTGATTTTGGGCACAGATRGGCCGGGGTTCCGGGGACAGGCGAGAGCGGCAGTGGGGGTGCGTTCACGTGAGGTAGGGAAATGTGAGTTGTGTGCGGTGCTCACCGGGGAAACGAAGCCTGAGACTGTCGGGGGGGCGGCGGGAGTAGCGGAGCCTCGCCCGGAGGACACAATGGTATTTTTAGTATACTGTGTTGTGTGTTTGGAAGATAATACATTGTCCTCTTTGGCCTGAACACAACCTCTTGTGTATGCGTTTGCGGTATTTTGAAACTGATCCAGCCTTCCGGGCATTGTCAGGAAATCTGCCCTTGAGGCGACAGCATCCTGATGATAAGAAACAAATTCAAACGCATTACTTCATTAAAAAACAGGAACTTTTTTCAACTTTCATGAACATAATATCGTGGAAATGTTTTGAGATAATTTCTTAAAATTTGGCACAAATGTCAACTTAGACGAAAGGTTGAAAAAACTGACTAATATATTGAGTCATAGATTGATGTCACTGTGAACTCATAAAACATGTTTTCAAGAATGTTCATGCAAATTATAACAGAATACCATTAATACTCGTCCATTTGTCCATCTCATAATATTCAACTCAATATCTCAGGCATGCCAGGATATCTCAGGATTCTTTTTAAAAATTTGGCACAAATGTCCATTAAGACTCAAGAATAAACTGATCAGAGTTTGGTGCTGAAAGGTCTCGGTCATGCTAACCTCAGGTTCCTCACATTCTTTTGAATGTGATACATGAGGAATACAAGGAGGGTATTTCATCGCCTCTGTCACAAACGTCCACATGGACCCACGGATGAACTGATCAGGATTTGATGGTTAAAGTTTAAGATTACCCTGAAAACAAAAACACGTAACTCAAAAATGTATATCACATAAGTTCCTTTACTTCACTACATCCACTTTATTATATATGTCTAGAAAGCCACCTAACAGTCACTCTAAATTGTGTTCTTTCCCTACACTTCATGAATAACTGGTTTTCTCTGTTTCATGTCTTCTTTTATATTTATTTTTGAATTAATATTAGCATTCTTTATTGGCTATTAGCACAGCATTAGCACAATGTCCTTAAACCAATGGAGCTCTGAAACATGAAACATATACAGGTTTTCTTTTTAAGTGCAATAATTTCAGATGGTATTTTATGCCTCACATTTTCCACACAGGGGCTTTAAATATATATTTGATTGGAGCAGTCTGTGAATGTTTCCATTCTTATTGTGAGCTGACAACAGGAAATGTGCTGAATGAGATACAGAGGATGTCATGTGATAGAGTAGAGCTCCAGCTCATGCTCAGTATACTGTGGTGTAGCATGGTGAAAACTGCATGTACAACACAATCATGAATTATCACATTTTATTTTTGACCTTTAATTATTTCACTTAGTGTCATTAGTATCTACATTTGCCTTACTCACCCTAATAACAAAGACAGGAAGTATCCTTTTCTGATAGTGTAGACTTGAGGAGTTTAAGTGTGAACACATTAAAACCAGTACACACATTAATCACATCAACACTTCATCTACATTTACACACAGTTCAGCTAGAACACTGGTTTGTCAATCATCTGTCTTTAATAAAACTCCTGCCTCGAGGGAGAGTCTGGGACATGTTTGGGTCACTTCCCTTGAGAAACGTCAGAATCCAGAGTTGTGGTCGGTGTTTGAGAATGTACCAGGAAAAGTTTTCAGTCTAATAAAAGGAGATTTATGCATTTGACAGGAGTAAGATTCAGTATGTTTTAGTGTCGCACCATTTATACAAGTCAAATTAACTTTCTTTGGAGGTGATAACTGCTATCATTGCTGTATGGCCTGGCTCAGGTTTGACCTTTTGAAAAACAAACACGTAGAGAATGAATGTCATGGAACTTCTTTTATTACTTAGTTTGACATTATAAATACAAATACAAAGCACTTCCTTTACACTGAGATCTAGATGTTTTATGACATTGCTAGTGTTGTAATTGGTAACGTTAATGCCATCTCTCAAAACTGAAGTGTTACATACAGCACACGTCAGTGTGGTACAGTGATATATTGCCAAAGTTGCATTGACATTTTAGCTAACTCTGGCTAATGCTACACTACAGGAAATCACATCTTTTTCGCCGCTCTAAAAACTAAATTTGCAAGTGGCAGCACAGTGCAACGGCTGTTTTGGAGCGGTTAAGAAGAAGTGTTTTCCAGGAGAAGAAAATGTATCAGAAGTTTATCTGGATGAAACTAATACACATTGAAGATGTGTTGTCGGATCAGTAGATAATTTCATATACCCACCAATGCCCAATATGGCATTTTTGGTTGTAGGCAATAACAATTAGTTAAATATACAGAGATAGAATAAAATATAAATACATAGATATATATATACTATTAAAAGATAAGGATACTGATTAAATAGACATAATACGAATGTAATATTTAATAAGAGGGAAAGGATGTTCCCTTTTAAATGTTGCACAGTTGTGTATGTAGGTCTGTGTTGCGTGCGGTGTCTGTCGAATTGCAAAGGGTTGATTGCAGGGTTGTTAAACTGGGTGGTGCCAACCTCATGGAGGAGCTACACAATAGCTAGTATGGAGAAGTTTGGCTCATTTTAAAACTGCTCTTTCACTGAATTAAAGGCACATTTACAGCACAGCACCAGCTGCTTGTTACTGTGCTACAGATAGAAATCCTGGTTGATTCCTGCAGGTATTTAAATCTTCCTCTGGGTTTTGCAGTTCTTGAATTTCTCTGACGTGTTTATGTCCAATCAGGCCTGTGGCTCTGCTTTCCAGTCAAGAATTTCTTGGCTCTTACTGCATGTTTGTTTCTTCTGACCCGAATTTGATACTTCTTCCTAACCTGTGTCTGTCTGTCCTTTTTAAAGATGGTCCTGCAGTGTTGACCGTATTCAAGATAAACCTGCTCTCAGGTACAGGCAGATCCAAGGCTTTATGTGATGCCTGTCTGTCCGTCCTCAACCCATCATCATCCTCCTCATCCTCAGTCATCTCTCTTTTCATCCTTTTGCTTATCAGGCTGAACGCTCCTCAGAAGCTGCCCATATTTCTCGTTGTGTTTTTGCTGTTAATTCGTTGCTGTCTTCCGGTTTGTCTGTTAATCACACCCAGATGTTTGTAATTCTGTCTGATCTCTAAGCTTCTGGCTGCAGCTACAGAGCCGGGCTGCTGAAATCTCAGTGTGTTGTGTCCTGTGTTCGTGGCTTGGAATTCAAATCGCCACTGATGCATGCTCTCATAAACTTAATCAACCATCACATTTTTAAGATTTTATTAATTTAATTTGATACAAACAGCCCAGACTTGTTATTTTATCAATCAACAGTTACTCAGTTGATTTCCCAAAAGGATGGCAAAGTTACAGACACTGTTATAGTGACTTTTATCCATATCGCACACTGCAAGTGTCAATCCTAGACACGTACAACTGGTGTACATTGGAAGAAGTTTTGTGATCTTTCATTTAAGTTAAAATAGTAGCAAGCATTTTTAAGCTGCTCAGATTTTTTCTTTAAATTAATTAATAACTATAGCCATCAAATTCTTTGAAGTAAAAATTATAAAGTAGAGAAAGTTGACTAAAATTGCATACACAAACGTAAAATACAAACTGAACCTAGGACAGAACTTGAGTAAATCTCGTTCCACCACTGCTGGTGAACAAGTGTCAAGTGTCAGAAATACAAGTTTACAATGACTCCGTAATGGATGGAAGAATATGCATTATGTATTGTGCTTGTGGGTTAATGGGTGTGTGTGCGGGCAGCTGACATATTCCTTCACATCCTCTTGACAGACAAACACTAGACACTGGATGTCGGTTCAGATTTGGAAACGCTAGTTCCCACATGTTTTGATGACTCACTCTGAGATACAGAGAAGAGGTGACGTTCTCCTGCCAGTTACTCATGCAAAAAGAAACTGTGGAGCAGTAAATATGCAGCTCATGTGGTGGATACGATCCAGAGGTGCAGTAAGAGGAGGTGGATCTATAGGGAATGGTTGCAGTGATTTAGGTTTTGGATTGATGCAGCTCGTCAATAGTGGATTTTTATTGTGTGGAGAGAAAAGGAACAGCCTCTGCTGTTTTTCTTCCTCTGCAGAATCAGCACAAGGCCTCTTGGAATCAACATATAGAGTTCCTCCTCTGATATCTCAGATGACTCGGGGTGATGGAGAATCGTCGGGCTCTGATCACTCCTTGCTTGCTTGCAGGGCTCTGTCGAGCTGACACAGCAGTTTTGAACCTACTGTCTTAGAATCACAAACAGATATTTCTCTATGAGCCTGTTCTTTTTCCATGGGAATATACTTGGTCCAACATGTTCTTTACTTTGTGAGAGGACATGTGTAGTAATCCCTCTCTGTATCTCATAAGCTGCTTTCAAGCATGCACTGGAGTCCGGACATGTGAGAATGCAAATGTGACTGTATTGGTTACTCCTGACATTTTCCGTAACTTTTCCTGCCAGTCCAGCTAGTAAGATGTTCAGAAAATGCCCTAGTGAGCCCATGTGAGAATACAGCAGAAAAACAAGTGAGCAACTGAGTGTGATGATTTTTCTAACATGCCATGGACCCAAACGTACAAAAAAATCTCAGGATGAAGAAGTGAGCCATACATGTAGAAGAGGCAGAGGAAGAGTTCACTTCAATCTTTTGGCGATGAAGGCTGATGGCGGGTTCAGGGTTTGGGTGACAAACAAAAACGCGTGATTTCCAATAGTTCTACCTATAGGCCACCCCTCTTCTTAATGTTACACAGATTTTCCTATTGTTGTGAATGAATCTGACCCAGACAATCTCCTGCTGCTTCCTCATTTGTGAAGGACAAACTCCGGAGTTCATGTGAAATAAGTATATCTCACTCATGTTGGTCTGGACTTTGACAGTTTATGGAGTTCTGTCCAGCAGCAGCTGATCATTTGGGACATTAGTTCTCGTCTAGTTCGTGGTTAAAAGGGTCATTTTAAATTTGAGCCTTTATTCTTCTGCTGGATGATCACATGAGAATATCTCAGCTGCTGTAAATAGCAGCTGAAGGGTAACTGGGTCACTTGGGTGAAAAGTGTGTCAATAAACTTACTTTCAAATGAATTCAGTTAATCTGTGACCTTGTAAGTCACCATTCTATTTATTTATTAGTAAATAGCATGGATTTATAACTTTGCTGTTTGGATTTGGATGTTTCCAGTGAATTATTTGTACCAGTCATTGTGTCTGTACTGTTTGCTGCTCAGTTCTACACTCTGTGTGTGACCCCTGTCATTTATTTGTTTCTCAGTGGAAGTAGATATAACGCACTGCTGGCCCTTTGCTTCTGTTTGATCAGGCCAGGATCTGATTGCCGACTGTGCACAGTTGGAGTGAGGACAAACAAGTTGAGAAAGACAAAAAAGGAAAGAGGGGGGAAAAAAACTAAGAAGAAAGAAAATACTCAGCTGCAGAGGGAGCGATGCTTCCCACGAGTCCAGTGGGAAAACCACACTGTAATTTGCCCTTTATATACCTCAGAGATTCCTGTGGTTTCACTGATATGCTTTTTTAAGCGTTTTAAGTGAGTCCGCATAAAAACGCCACTGTCCCTCTCTCATTGGCTCACACTTCTGTCAGTCAGATCACTGTCTAATCAGAGGTGGCTGTCTCGTGTTCGTTTGGGCTGAAGCTGAAGGAGGCTGGAGATATTTGTCTCCATTGTTTTCTGAGCATTTTTCATCCAGGGGGAGGTTGGATGGACTCTTGATACAGCAGCCATCTCAATCCCTGTTCCCTCCCCCCTCTCTGGTGTGCTCATGCACGTTCCAGCCACACAGGAAGTGCTGGCCACCATTCAGGGAATTTATACAGAGAGGGGGGGGTTGGAGCAGGCAGCGAGCCGAGCAGTGCTACATTAGCACATTCCCTCAGTAACAGTCTGCCATGCAGGGAGAGGGAGGCACTGATGGAATGTAATGTGTCATTGTATTTAGAGATGAAGGGGAGTGTGTGTGTGTGTGCACCATTGCTTTGGTGTTTCTCATCTTTCCCTACTATAAATACACATTTCAGTTAAAGACAACTCCTCTTTAAACAGTAATTATTATCACTATGTTTGGTTGACACAACCAGATACTTAATTGAATGTTACTCAGTAGAGCTCGTACCTCTGCCAAGACCCAACAGTCCCCTTGTGAAACCACAATGAAATGATCTATATCCAGATATTTGTGTAGGATCTGCACCACATTTTACCGTACCCAAGATCTATGAAACTTTTGCTGAGAAATTAACGAAAATATTGAAAAATTCACTGTCTCACCAAGTTAGAGAAAGAGAAAAAAATCCTTGGTCTGATTTGGATCCACACCAACATTTGCTGACCCATATCACACCCTTTCACCAAGTTTCATGGTAATCTGCCTGGTAGTTATTGTCCAATCCTGCTAATTTAGAAACAAACAAACAGAGGAGAAATATAACCGTCTTGGCGGAGGTAATGAACAGTCTTGGCCCTGCATTCAGTTGTATGACACATATTTACTCTATCTTCTTCTGTATATGTGATTGTTGTATTTCTTTTGCAGATGAAAACAATGGAAATGGCATCAGTTCATTATCTGAAAGAGGGTCATTGCCTGGAAATACAGAAGTAAGTTGTAATGTAACTTTTAATGTAACTTCATCTGTATGAAGCCACAACCAGCAGTTGACACCTTTTGAGTTGACAACTGAAGTCTCCCACAGCTTCTCTTTCATGTTCAGAAGGGGAGGGTGAGGTGAGGTGAGGGGTATTCAGCTGCAAAATGCAACTTCCCCACTAGATGTCACTAAATCCTACACACTTAACCTTTAATGTTGCTTTGTTAAGCAATATTCTTATTTTGATCCACAGTCCAAAATAAATAGTATTACAAACAAGTGTCATATATAGTTCAAGGTTTATTTTAACATCTCCAAAGCCTGTGCTCTTTTAGTTGTGTTATGTCACTGTTTATGATTGTGTTGTTTTTGCTGATCTTTTGTTGAATCACTGCCCTCATTACTGAGTCACAAGACCTCGGTGTCTCAAAGAGCTTGTTTCATTCCTCTGACCATAAGAATCAGACCGGAGCCTGTTAGTCTGTGTTGCAGCGAGGCCATCAAGCAGATGGCTTATCCATCAGAATTCATAGCACTGAATAAATTATGTCTCTGTTCTCCTCAGTGCTAGTCTATCTATTAAAATCCCAACATGATTCAATAACACTATGAGGAGCAGTGAGCAAGAGCAAGAGCGACACTTGGAGCGGGGGTTCAGTAAACCAAAGACAATACTACACACTCCATGTCACTGTTATACCTTCATGTGATGGCAGATAAATATTGTGTGTTTTTCCTGCACTGACAACACTGACATCATGAATGCAGCTAAATTGAAAGTTAACCTTTTTCAAAAGTCACGTTAACGTGAAGCTTGCACTGACAAATAAAACTACAGATTTTAAGAATATTTTGTATGTCAGTACATTCCAGTCTTTAAAAAAATATGATTAAGATCTAAAGAGATCAAACTCCGTTGAGAAAGCTTTATTATCTTTTCTTAAACCTATTTTCATAAAACTAAATGAATGGTGGTGTAAACCTATAAAACCTCAGGTTATTTAACTGTGTGGAAAAGTAACTGTCAAGATCCAGTCAGTCTTATAAAATGACAAATGCAGACTGAGAGTTTGCAGTTGTGTGTTAAATTCCAGGCTGGTTAGAAATGACAAGATATATAATCTATGGTAAAGTATTAATCCACAGTGTTGTAACAGCACAACAAATAAAGGCACATACAGAGAATTGTAGACATGGATGGCAGTAAGTCTCAAACACTGTCGACCATTTAATGTTGAATCAAGTTTCACAGATTGATCTTTTCCAGCAAGAATGTTGTTTCCAACAGATAATAGTCAAAGTCTTCAATCAGAAGATTAATGTTGTGAACTGATGAGGGTTTTAGGTCTCTCATATAGCATCAAAACATTTCCGCATAAAAAAAATCAAATGACTGAAATATAAAGCATCAGAACTTTTCTTTCCCTCCATCAACTATTTTTGGATAATGACAGGTTGTGGTTCACTGTACAGAGTTTATTTTGGAGTTTCTACAGTTGTCATTACACCCATCTAAACTCTTCTTCAAAGAAACGACAAATAGTCCTGAAATGCTTTCACTTATATCACTGACCAGAAATGTCTAATCCCAGAAATAGTTCACAATAACACAATAATTTATAATTCTGAGACGCAGTGATGAAATACTGTATATTTGTCAGAGTCTGAGCCTGTAGTGTGTCAGTTTGCTTTCACTTCCTACTCTGTGAGTTAATGTTAAAGTGTTATTTTATGATTATTGTTCTTCAGACTGAAAAGCTTCAACCAAACAAAGACACAGTTTTCTTCAGGGACGGAGTTCGAAGAATAGACTTTGTCTTGTCTTATGTGGATGACAAAGATGGAGAAAAGAAACAGGTAAGTGAACAGAACCATCTGGTGTTTCCTGACTACTCAGCATTTCGTTACTATGATGTAAAACAGCATTTATATCAGGAAGTGGAATGTATGCGGTGCTGCGAAGAGGAAGTGAGCGTCAACGAACAGATTTTCTGTGAATATGACTGGAGGACTGACGGAGGTGTACTTTGATAAAACTAAGTCTAAAGCTGTTGTCGGACATGAATTCAAGTTTGTCTCCCACATTTGAAGAACGCAACAGGACACAGTCTGAGTCAGACATGTCACAACATCAGGAGATGTTTTTCCTCCTGTATTCTCAGGTTGGCTCACTCTGATATTTGTTTTGTATATGAAGAGATACTTTATTAATCCCTCAAGGGGAAATTCTTTTTACACTCATTTTTTACATGCATTTTAACCCTGAAACACAACCACACACACACACAAAGGGCTCATGGACATGCAATGTGGAGAGAGATGGTGGAGTGATGGGCAGCCCCGGAGAGGCACCCTGCGAGCAATTGGGGGGTTCGGTGCCCAAGTCTCTATGAACTGAGCTACCACCCCCCCATATATAAAATAATAATATATAATTAATAAGTCAATTAAACACTTGTGTGTGTGTGTGTGTGTCCACAGGAAAGGAGGAGGGAGTTTGAGGCCAACCTGGAGAAAACAGGACTGGAGCTGGAGACAGAGGACAAATCGGTAAGAAATTCAACCCCAGAGTAGCTGCACCATCTAGTGGCTAGTTTGCAGAGGCACACCACATTGTAGAGAAAATGATCTTAAAGGGATCTGTCAGTCATAGACACATGACACTGCCATCCTGATGTATGCCAGAGCAATTGGGTACAAAGGGTTCAGAAAAGCTGCAGTGAGGTGAGCTGTATTCTTCTTCTTTTCTATTTGTGCTTGTATCAGTACTCTAAAGACCAGAAGACATATTTCCTGAAGATTCACGCTCCATGGGACGTACTAGCCACCTACGCTGATGTCTTAAAAATCAAAGTTCCCTTCAAGGAGAGTGATATCCCCCACGGCCAGGATGTCCCACTGGAGTGGCTCACGCATCCTTTCCGTCTGCCGGACTATATAATGCGCCCACAACCAGACTACTTCACCTATCCCTTTGACAAGAACAAGACAGACTTCTTCCTCATCAATGACAAAGACTCGTTCTTTCCACCATCCACGAGAAACAGGATTGTGAGTGATTTCTTCCCTTCAATATGAATTCATTTGTTACATTGCCACGTTTAAGATTTTACTATTCATGAATTAAATTGTTTCCACAATGTAACTCTTTGTAGTTCATCTGGACTCAGGGTTTTACTCTACCTTGTCAGAACATGCTTGTGCAACGAAAATAGCACTCAGTTGTGCTCATTCCTCCAACGAGGCCCAAGCTGCTCCAATGGTGATTACTGATATCAGTTTTCTATATAAGCCATTTTTTTCAATCTAGATCCATGAATTATTCTATGTGAATTATGACCCCCCCCCCCATTGTCCAGTTCCACCCTACAAATTGAATGGGATCTTTGGGTGTGGTGATGGGTTTTGTGGCAATCCTTTATGTAGTTTTTGTGTAAACCTGCTGACAAACCAACCCAGCAACAAACAAACAGACAGGGGAAAACATATCCTCCTTGGTGAATATGAACAACTAAGCAAAATGTATTTAGCAAAATGAATCCAGTGAAACCAAATCCCTTAATCCCTTTTTAATTCCATTCCTTGTTGTTAGGTGTTCTACATCCTGGCTCGTTGTCCGTACTTCAAAGAGGGTCGCAAAGACAAAGACAAGACGGGAATCAAGCGATTACTCAGCAACGGGACCTACACAGCGGCCTTCCCACTTCATGATGTAAGAACACACGGAATAAAGAACATGAATATGAACCGGTCAATCAATCAAAGTACATTAAATATAGTAAACAGATACTTTTAGATACTTCCACTTTCACTTTCTGAGACTTTTCACTTGTAGGTCATCACTGAGAGGGATCATGGTTTCTAGCTATTTTATCTGTAATTCCTCATAGATTAAGATTGGACATGCATCATTTATTAGTTTAAGTACCCCAATTCCATATTAAATAGATTGACACAATGCTTCCTGCATCTCACACATTAAAACGCTGTTAATATTTTACACCATGATGATGAAACACATTGACAGCAGCAGTTCCGCAGAATGAGTACATTTTAGTGTTTGTACTACTTTTACTATTAACACTACAGTGACTTATTTTACATCATATCAGCTGCTTATTTGCTTCTGACTAGGTTTCGCTTTTTTCCTTTTTACTTGAAGGAAAATGGGATGAAACCGTGCAATAGTCTGATATTTTAGTAAACACGCTCATTCACTGTCTTGCCAGGAACATTAATTCGATTTTTAATTGAATAGGTTTCTGCTTGTTTTCCTTCCAGTGTCGTTACTGGAAAAAGGCTAGAAACGCTGAATGTGAGAGCGAGCGCTTCAACTTGTACAACCACTGGGCCAGGTTCCTTTGTTTTTACAAAGAGCAGCCGCTGAACCTCATCAGGTAAAACAGACAAGACCCGAATGAACTCAGCGTTTACATTCATCCATTATTATGTTGCTGAGATGTGACAGTTAACTTGTGACTGAGATGTGATGTTAAAGTGATTCTCTGGCCGCAGGAAGTACTATGGAGAAAAGATCGGGATCTACTTTGCCTGGTTGGGCTTCTACACAGAGATGCTGTTCTTCGCAGCCGTCATGGGCGTCATATGTTTCACCTATGGAGTGCTCAGTTATGATGACAACATGTCAAGGTTAGTACCACCAGAGGGCGTCAGGGAGCTAGGGCCAAAAGTATGCAGACACTTAAATGTGTGATTGTTGACCACTCGTAACATAACTATTGACATTCATATGTTGCTACACCAGCCTCTTTATGAAAGTATGAAGACACCCATAGATTACTCTTAAGTTGTTGTTGTTGACCACTTTATTCCTAAACCATTAACATTCATGCACTGCTATGAAAGCCTCAAATCTTATGGGAAGGTTTTCTATGGAATCTGCAGACATTATATCCTATGTCATTATTCCCTAACAGGAAAGGGTCAAACTGTGGTCACAAAAGTAGAGGAAATGTATTTATGAAAATCTCTCTGTATGATGATTTCCCGTAATTAGAACCAAAACCACGACAAACAGCACCAGACAAAAAGTACTCTGTCCACATATCTTTGTCCACATAATATTTGTTAGGACTTAAACGTCCTATTTACTGGCCACAAATAATTCTAAACGATTTATTTCCACTGATTTTGAAACTGCAAGAATTGATTCTAGAAGTAGATAAGTATGTCATTATATTTCAACTGCCAGTTTTGATAAAATCCTGCCATGTTAACATTTGTTTATATTTATCTACATTCATTTATTTTATTTTCAGCAAAGAAATATGTGACGCTAATATTGGGGGCAGCATTGTGATGTGTCCACTTTGTGATAAAAAATGTCCTTTCTGGCAACTCAACTCCACTTGTCTCTCATCCTGGGTAAAAACATTTCTCTTCATTATTTAGATT